TCATGTGGATCCTAGAACCAGACTCTGATAAATAAGTTTGCAACCAGGTATAACTACAGGAACCAGGATAATGGAAATGAAACAGGGAGGTAAAGGAAAAGAAATAACCTGAAAGAGAAGAACAGTAGGAAACAGACCTTAATAAGGGAGATACGGATAAAAATTGGGTTAGTTTAATGGAGTGGGGAGGGAAGGGGTATACAAGGAACCTAGGGGATAAAGGGAAAGAAGGAGCTCAAAAGAGGTAGGACCATAGGAGAAGGGTATTAGTAAGGGCAGAAGGCGAGAAAGTGGGGAACCTTAAATGGGAAGACTGGTGGAGAGGTGAGACAATGCAAGAGATAAACAATGCCTAGGTAGTTTTGAAAACCAGAGGGAACCATATTACTCCTACAACCTACTGACAAATTATACATAGCAGATCAAGAAATATGTGTCTAGGTAAATTTTATCTGAGAACAACTGGTCTTTGCCCAAGATGTATCTACAAGACACACAGCAATTAGAAGTACCAGACTGGTGGAACTAACCTTCTTGGGTGTTTAACAGACATACTTTGAGGCCTATAACAATTTGGCCAGAGGGACATTTTGGCTGGAGGACACTTTTTGCTCCTTACCCTCCTAGGTTGACTAGTTCCAGGGGACTATGAGCATCTCTCATAATGTCCTGTATTGGTGGTGGGTCACCTGGCCTCTTGATCAAGGAGGCCTAGGAGACCCCACCAGATGGACTTGAACTGGTGTTCAGTCTACAAAGAGAAGGATCAATACAGAGAAATCACTTTCTCCATGCTTCCAAGCGAAGCCAACCATGATCCAGCATGACCTTTGACTTATCTTCACATAGGCAGAACTGGTAAAAGAAAACTGCCAGGGGCTCCTCCCAATTCCATGTGACCCCTGAGGAACAGATCCTCAAACGACCTTAAGAGTAAAAATAAATTGGTTTATCTGGGCCAACTGTATGGCCTTAAATACCCAAAAGGAAAGTATAACCAAAGGTTAAAGGGGCCAATATAATTTCTTAAGAGTCCATATGCATAGCTAAAGGCTACATAACAAGCAACAATGTCAGACAGGCAATACCTTCTTTTGAGTTGTTGGCAGGGGTGGCCAAAGGGACTCCCAGATAGTAACCCAGCATAGAACTGGGAAAATGAACATCAGAGCCCAATCTAATCTAAAGGAATATTGACTACTCATCACTGCTAAATGAGGAACAGCTTTCCCTCCTAAAACAAAGACCTCTAGATAGGCTGACTAGATTCACCAGAAGGGCAAGTAGTGGGGAATGACTGGGGGTGCCGACAACACAGCAGACAGTAGCAGGAATAACAGAGTATAAGAGCACTAGTGGGGGGAGGGAGGCTATGGGAGGGTGTTATCTGGGAAGTGGGTAGTCAGTCGAATGAGATGGTTTGGGATGTTCTGTGTAATATACACACACACACAAAAAAAATTTTTTTAAACATATTATATTTGATGAGGAAGCATGGAAATTTATGTCATGCTAATTAGTAGAGGTGATAAACAATACCATTGAAATCTACCCGATGACTTTATAGACAGACACAGGCACCAAGGGTCCAAGTGCAACTGCTTATGACTAGTAATAATCAGATACATTAGATACATACAGACTAGAGATGCGAGCACCAACATCTCAGTGTTAGTAGCAAAAACAATGAGTCTTTCTGGAAGGAACAATATATTCTAAAATGAAATGGAGATCTTTTTTTTTTTA